AACGGTTAATGTTACGAATCACTCACCCTCATAGTGGGATAAAATCGCTTCTCCGTTTGGAATTAAAATTCTTTATAAATTATATTATACAAAATATGACAATTCTCAGAAAAATAAGCAATTTTAAATGCCAACAAATCAATTTTTTTAAAGTCTGTCGCTTATACAAAAAAATAAATAACAATAATAATAATATTTTTGGGGCAATTTTTTGTCTTCAAAAATCAATAATTAATTTATTAATTACAAAATTACAACAGAGAAAGGTTAGTATGACAAATCAAAAAGATAAATTAAAAGTATACTAAAAATAAATTGGCTACAATAGAACGATGGAAAATATTATTTAATTTAAAAAAATTATTGAATAAAAAATGTTTTATACTCAGTAAAATTTAAAGAAAAATATTTTTTAAGGTACTTGTCGTGTTTTAAGCATACCATCAGAAAATTGTTGTATACTTATTAAGGACATGACAATACATATATCCTTAAAATTTGAAGTCGATTGACCGTCTATAACCCGAGATAAATTCAATTAAAAATTGAATAATTAACATGGATTGTATAGGCTTTCTGTAGTTCTGTACCAGTTTCTTAGTTATACAGAAAAAAGAACTGTCAGAAGCTTTCAAAAAACTAACAGTGTTTTAATGTTTTTTTGCTGAGTTTAAAAAAAATAATTAAAAATTTTTGACCTTCCAATTGTTTATAAATAACCGTTTAAAGTTCAACAATTTGTAAAAAGTATACATCACTAGTGTTAGATAAAAACAACTTGGCAAGGCTGTACGCGAGTATAGATATTATTTCCGCAGTAAATTCAAACGAACTGATTCAGTCTCCAATATATCTATTGGTTGAGCATAAGCGACGTTGCCGGATTAAAACTTATGAAAATATTTGAAAGTATTACGTAAAGGTAACGTCTCCAGGGTACAGTCTTGCGAACAAATTATGAATCACTTAGCTACAAGCTCGTATACTTTTACGGTGCGTATAATCTAAAAATTTTTGACAATATTGTACCACGACAACTACCTTAATGAATTAAAAAATATTTTATGCAATTAAATATTTTTTATTTAATTTTTTTTATTTAATGATAAAATATTTTTATTCAATAAAAAATATCATTTATGCAACAACAATATTTTCGTTGATGGACACAGACAAATTTTTGGCGGGACTGCTGCGTCACTTACACAGGCTTGTCATAAATCAGCTAGAAAATTGCGACTGCTATAGCCGTCGTGTCATATTGGGCCCGACGGCATTTGCAGTCCTGTCCATGAACGTGTTAAAAACTTGTTTTTTATAGATAAAAATAGATCAAATTTTTTTTCCAATTTATAAAAATTATTTTCACATTAAAATTATTTTCCAACTATCATTAATGGTAAAAATGTCATTTTTATTTACTTATACCCGATGACATCTTTTAATGTTGTATTAATTCTAGAATAAAATTTAAAAATCGTGAATCAAAAACTTTACTCTTCGGCGAGCTATGTGAATTATTGAAAATTTCTATACATATATATCGAGTGAAATGTAGTCAGAACATTGACAAAGTTTTTAAAACAAAAATTAAGTCGCGAACTTGAACGGTTACAGAAATAAGAATTTTTATATTAGTAATTTCAATTTAAAATATACACACATCCGTGAGGTTAGTTAACGGGTATTTTTTTAATTTAATTTTGCCAATAAAATAATAGGTATTATATTATATAGCTAAAAACTAACAGTGACCGGTCAACCGGTTAACCGGTTTTGTAGGACCAAAAACCGTTAAAGAACGTAACCGGTTTAACCGTAATCGGTTTAACTGTAACCGGTTTAACCGTAATCGTGATCGATTAAAGCTGTCACCGGTTTAACAGTTACTGGTTTATCCGTAACTGAAACCGTTCTTAAAACATCGATATTGACATCAAATGATATATTGAAAACACAAATATGTCATATCGAAGTGAAAAAATCAATATTGATAAATATTAATGCTTTTAAAACTTAAACATTTAAAAGTTAGTAAAACAAAAGTATTTTTATTAAAAAAATACTAACAAATATAAACATTTAAAAGAGAAGGAAATCTATAGTTTTTTCATGTTTTCCAGTGCAGGCAACATAGTTTCGGCGAAAAGAAACTGCTTGCTACCGGAAAAAGCTGATAAATTGATTTTTTTTACATCAAAACTAAATAATAACAAAATAGGGAGTCTTAACTATAAGTTTTTTTAGTTTTTAGTAAAATTGGTGGTATTTTTATTATTCTTATTTAATTTTTATTGAGTATGTATCTATTTTAAAAAAATTCAAGCATGAACTGCCTGGTTGTCACGGGTAAAGAAAGGTGAAAGTGTTAGTGAAGTGATCCCTTTTTATTGAAAACAAAGAATTTGCTACGATTAAACCGGTGACGGCTACAGTTAAACCAGTTACGGTTAATCCGCCGATCCGGTCTAACCGGTCTGGCTCGACCGGCTCGGTTTGATCAGATCGGTTAACCAGATAATCAGACTGGTTAACCGGTTAATAGGTTAAAAAATCCGGTCGAACCGGTTAACCGTTTATTACATCAGGTATACTTTAATTTATCATTTTGACTTGTCGTACTAACCATTTTCTGTTGTAGTTATATGATTAATAAATTAATTAGTGATATTTGAAAAAATGTGTCCCATAAATATTATTATTATTTCAATGTTTGTATCTGCAACAGATTTTAGAAAATTTGATTTCTTGGCATTAAAAATTATTAATTTTTTTACAAAATTGTCATATTTTGCATAATATAAGTTAAAAAGAATTTTAATTTCACAGGGTGATTTTATTCCGCCATGAGGTTGGGTGATTCGTAACATTAATCGTTGTATTAATTCTAGAATACAATCTAAAATTCTGATTTTTGCAGACTTATACTTGTGAGCGCTTCTAATAGCAATTCAGAAATTTTAAATTTTTTCAAAGATTTTGAAAAAATTCCTATACATATATATCAAACCAAATGTAGTCAAAACATTGACAAAGTTTTAATTAAGTCGCTAACTTCAACGGTTGTAGAAATATGAATTTTTATCCAATTGCTCGCTAGAATACATACGAGGTGTGTTCAGAAAATAACGGGAATTTTTGAATTTCACGGGTTCGGAGAGTCCGATTGTCATAAAATTTTCTTTATTATGTTGATATGCATACCCCTGAAGTATGATAAAAACTTGAGCTGTTTTCATAGTTTACTTTGTCTGTGGCAGCCGCTAAGGTCAGACTAGTTTTTATGAGCTCGGCAATTTTTGTTCGTTAAAAGAAATGGATCAAAGAATTTGTATCAAATTTTGCGTAAAAAAATAAAGTTAAGTGTAACAAAGTGTGTGAAAAGGCCTATGGTGAGTCTGATATGAGTAAAACAAGAGTATACGAGTGGTATAAGCGTTTCCAAGATGGCCGTGAAGAGGTTAAAGATGACGAACGCCCAAGCATATCAACAACCGATAAAAACTTGGAAAAGTGGAAGAAATGGTTATGAACGATCGCCAAATCACAATCAGAGAAGTCGCTAATGATGTTCGCAAATCGATTGGCTCATGCCATAAATTTTTTTTTAATGTTTTTGATATGAAACGCGTGGCTTTTGCACCACGATAATGCACCTGCTCACACTTCATTGCATATTCGTACATTTTTGGCCAAAAGCAATACTGTAATGATGCCCCAGCTTCCATGTGTGACTTTTTCCTATTCCCAAAAATAAAGAGAACCTTAAAGGGCCATCGTTTTGCAAGCATAAATGTCATTAAAAGCGCATCCCTGAAAGAACTAACGGCTATCCCAAAGATCGAGTTTGAAAAGTGCTTCGAGGATTGGAAGAAGCGCTGGCACAAGTGCATAATAACTAATGAGAACTATTTTGAAGGCGACAACATTAATGTAGATGAATAAATAAATACTTTTTTCAATTCAAAAAATGAAAATTCCCGTTATTTTCTTAACAAACCTCGTATACCTAACTGGAAACAAATTTTCGAACGCAAAAACGAAAAATCCTCCTATACTTGAGTCAACTACCTAAACTCCGTATGGCGTATGGGCGCGGGCAGAATAGGCAAGACAGAGCAAGCATGTCGACAGGGTTTCGAATATCCGACCACTGAAATCTTCTATATAGATTATATACATATACAGGGTGTGCAATAATCTACAAGCGGGTTTTAGAACCAAAAATAGCAAGAAAACTATATGTAGACCAAGGTCAGCGCCCCTGAAGATGTTTTATTATTATTTCTAAAAAATAAATAATGTATTTTATGAAAATATATGTATTTTTTTATTCATATTTTTTGTTAAATTGAGAGGTTTTTTTTTAATTTAATATTATATTTTTATTAGGAAATGGTGCATTATATCGATGTTTATTAGGAGTACATTTTAAGTATAAAACTTTAAATTTTTATATTCTACAGTCAACTTGAAAAAAAAATGCACACTAAAAAAGGCGAAAAACACCCAGGCCCCTCATGTCACTCGTAAATAAAAAAAATTAAAATTTGTTATGTAAGCATACAAAATTTTATTATTTTATCTCAAACCGTTTCGGGAAAACCAGCTTCCTTAGGGGCCAACAATGTTATAGAGATACAAATAATGTTCTACCAAAAAGAAAAAATACTTTTATAATAAAATAAACTTTTTATTTTTTAGTTTTTTTATTATATTAAATTTATTGTTGTCACTTCTCTTCTAATTAAACTTACACATGGATTTCGTATGAATCAAATGGCATTTATTATACCGTCTTAAAATATTTCTTCAATTATCGCCGTTCTTATTATCAGTTTTAGGTAGATGTTTACTTGGAGTGCTATCGTGGTAGGAAATCGATTTTTTTTGTGCCCGAGTGTACATCTAGTGCGACTATGCACTATTTATTATGTTAAGTTATTATTCTCTTACCATTTAAGACAAAAATAAACAATGTTGAACATTTTTGTTTATATTTATATTATATTAAAATTATAAAACAAAAAACTCACCTGGGGTGTCCAAGTGCATTCTGCTTTAAAATTCCTAGTTTGACTTTTAGGCGTTGACCGAAAAAGTTTTTTGGTTAATTTTCCTCCTGGCATAACACTCGATGAAGATTTGCTTTTTTGCATTGCTCTAGCTGTATAAATAGAAGAAGACAGTTTTTCATTTGTTCCATGTAATAAATTACTTAAAAAGGAATTATTCGTACTTTTTTGTGGGGGAGGAGAATTTGGATTTGATTTTATGTATTCATTAACATCTAAATCTATACTACTTCGAGTACTAGAAATATGACTATCCACATCCGAAATTTCAAATATTTCATTAAACTTTAAATCACGGTAAGTTAAAATCCATTCCTGGTTAGTCTGGCATCCTTTGTTTAAACCATCATCATCGCCCGGTTTTGTTATTTCTCCTTTCGCTTTAATGTTTCGTAGGTTTCTATCATAATTTACTCTTTTAAACCTATCAGCTTTGTCTGAATCTACACTTTTTTTGCGAGCCATACGCAAATATCTTTTAATCGTATCACTAACCGATTGGGAAACATCATCATTATCAACACTACTTCTACGGCGACTACTTTTCTTATTTAAAATAAAATCCTCATCTTTTTCAGCTAATATTTTTTTAAATTCCTCTTCACACAATCGAAGAACATTATGCAAAATTGGCATTGTTTGAGTTCCAAAACTTTGAAAGAAAGTTTCAACTGGTTCATTTCTTATATTTATTACGGGAGGTGGATTATTTGAAACATATCGGTTTTCATTTTTAGTATCGTAATTTCTTTCAAGTTTTTTTATTCCAGATGGTTTGCATCCATACCTTGAAGTATATCCAGTGCCTCCCCTCGTGCCTCTAAAACCTTTAACTTTTTTAAGATCAAAATACAGTTTTTCTAAGGCTTTTCTATTTGTCAATAAATCAGATAATATTTTATGTCTATTTGGGCTTATAAAATAATATCTGTTTAATGTCTCAGAAAGGGAGTTTTCGACAGAATCGCCGGTAAAATTAATTTGTCCTGTATTATAAAATGATGACCCATTCAAATGTTTTTCTAAATTTTGCAGTAACTGTTGGTAATTAAATTTTTTATTTATTGTGTTTATATTGGCTTCATCTTCGTTAGAAATTGTTAAATAAGTATCAAGCATATAAACAAGTTCCTGATCGTCTTCGATATTGGATAAATCATTTATATTATCCAAATCTATATTTTTATGTTCCAAGTTCCTTCGCCTATTTGGAATGGTAACAAAATTATCGCTCATTTTATTTAGTTTTAGATTTTCTGGTTTTTCAGATTCTAGTAATAATGAATTCGACTGCTCAAATTTATCAAATTCATCCGTACTAGTAGCTTTCAGATGACTGCCCCTATTTGTATTTTGCCACTTTTTTTTTAAACCTAATGCACCAGGGTAAGAGTTTTTTCTCCATAGTAGAAAAGTTGGTTCCTTTTTACAAACTTCCTGAAAATATACTTCAATTTTTGGTATATCTTCAGGTCTATTCTGAGCACCTTCTGGAATTATTTTTTTTCCAGCATCTGCCATATATCTCCAGGTTTTCCTCGTCAATAGCCATCTTTCTTTAGGTTTCTTTTTTCGAAAACATTTTCCCATTTCCGAATTTTCACTAATATTTTTTAATTTAGATTTGCTTTCCATTATAATTCAAAAAGAAAATATTATTAAAAAAGTGACACATTTATTCTTAGTATAAATAATAAATTAGATTTATAAATTATTATTTATTTAGTATTTTAATATTTTAAATCACTTAATTTTAAAATATACACTGATATGTTAGTTATCACATTTAATTTTATATATATATTTAATTAAGGCACCACAAAATTAAATTAAATTTCCGTTTTATTATATTTATACCGATATTTTTCTGCAAATATATTATTGTTAATATTTGAACCAAATTTATCGTTTTATAAGATATTACAATCTCGAATGTGGACCACTCAAAACTGAAACGCTTTAACTTGAGTGCGATTAAGTTTGTACAAAAATATAACATTTGGCATGGGACGTGTTTTTAGTAAGCTAGACAAAGTTAGGAAAATAAATTAAGATAAATATTAGGCGTATGGGCGTGAATACTTTTCTAAATAATAAAAACTAAATTTTCTTGTAAAACTAGGTCAAATTAACCTTGATTTTATTTTAGTAACGGTTTTATTAATTTTTAAGTATCTAAGGTATTAATAAATAATAAATATATTACCAACCTATAAATAAACTATATTTTCTATTTATATTTCAAATATATTTTCCTAATTATATAATATTATTTTAGAATTAATTTTATATTTTAAAGAATTTTTAGAAATTTTTAGAATTTTTAAAAAATAATTGGAATATTCTAAAAATAATAATCCAGTTAAAATCCCAGCTAATAATTTTAATTTTAATGAAGATCCCAATTCCCTTAATTAATCGCGCTGGTGTATTTTGTGCCCCATTGTCGCAATATTTTCTCACTTCTCTGTTTGAGACCTTTTCTTTGTCTATTTAGAACGTATTTTATTAGTTTTATACGTTTTGGTCATCTTGACATCAGATATTGGAATACGTTTTAAAATTTTAAGGTCTTACATAACTGACTAGCTTACCAACTTACCAACAAAATTTTTATAATTTATATTTAAAAAGTTAATTATCAAGTGTATAGCAAGCTTTTATAATTAAAAAAATGAAAGTGAGTAAAATTTTTTAGAGCATCACAAGTATTTTAAATTTGTTATGTAACTTTTTTTAGTTTACTGACATTATTGAAATAACATAAAAATAGGACTTCAATATAACTATTATTAATGCAATACATTTGTTAAGGATCATTAAATATTTGTTAAACCTTTTATCCACAGTTTGGTTTCTATATAAAAAAGTGGTATTTTACTAAGAGAAATCCCAACGATTAAAACTTAACCAAAAGGTAGAGAATGTAAAGCTTCCATAGGATTATCAGTCACTTTTATAAAAACCAATTTTATTAATAATACAAAAAGTGGATCTAATATCGAAAATTAAATTTAAGTAAATTAATATTCCGGCATATTCTAAGGAGTTTAAGTGGTAAAATAAAAAATGACAGGGCACTATTAAAATTTTTAAATTTTTCTTACCTAATAATTACTTTTTATGCGTAGTATTAACCCTAGAGCGGGCGCGTCCTATAATATTTCATGAGTGGGCGCGTGGTGCCAATATGCTACCAGCTGTAAATTATAGTTTTAAAACAGCCTTAATATTGTTTTAGCAGTAAATACTATAAATAAAGTCTAAATAATTAATTTTATTAATATTTATTAAACATTTAAATATTATATCTATGAAATATTTATATAATATATTTATATTTTACAAAAATAAAAAAGTTAGTCATCTAACGTTCATCTATATGTTTTACTTTTGTAACACAAAATTGTACTTTCACTATGCTCTTCACAAACGAAATTATCACATTTGTCACAAAATAGTGACGTAAATTTATATTTATGTCGTCCACATATAGTACAACGTCCCCGCTTTTTTCTTCGTTCAATTGAACGAAGAAAAAAGCGGGGACGTTGTACTATATGTGGTTAACTTGTTTTTTTTATTACTTCTACAAGTTTGTAACGCTTTAAAAATATTTATATATATGAAGGTAAAACCAAATTTTAGACCTTTTGCCCTAAAATAAAGTAAATAGAATAAAATACACATTTTTGGTAAGCTAATAATAATAATAATTACAGTCATTATTATATTTATACATGTATTAGGAATGCCAATAATAATAATATTAATAATAATAATAATATTCAGAAACTGGTAAATGATATTTTTTAGCAATATTAAACTAGTAACAACAGAAAAAAATAGCACAATTAAAAAAGAATCAACTAAAAATATACTTACATCATTAGGCGCGTGGTAGCAAAATTGCTCCAATTAAATTTAAACCGCTGTAGACAAACACACAAATAAAATTTAAACCAAACAAACTTAATTAACCCTTCGTCATCAATATCTAGGAAGATACTTAGCAATATAAAACAAATAAAACACTTGTTCATGCCCCACGCCCTTATTAAGTATTATTGGTAGCACATTTGCACCAACGCGCCCGCTCTTTAAAAACTACTTAATGTATTGTGAACCGTAATATTTTGTTAACTAAATTGGAAAAGTTGGGTTTTAAAAGTACAGTGTTACAATGGTTTACTTCGTATCTATTTAACAGAGTTTAGAGTGTAAAGTATAATGGTTGTTTGTCCAAATCCATGTTTGTTATTTTCCGTATCTTAACGATATTGTGAAGATTGTCAATAAACGTAAAATTGTATTATTTGCGGATGATACTACGTTGTTTGTATGTGGCAAAGACCTAAAACAAATGCAACAACAAGAGTTGCAAAAAATATTTACGTGGTTCTAATTCTAATAGTTTATGTTTTAACACACAAAAATCAAAATTCTGTTTGTTTGGCAAAAAATCTAAGGGCCGTATGCAGAAACGTTGATTTATTTATATCAACTGATTAACGCATATCCACTTATTTAAGTTTGAACCAATTTGGCAACAAGGTATGAAAAACGATAATTACGGCTTAAAGCCTCTGAAAAGAACAAAGAAATTTTGTTTTATTTGGTGAAAATTTTATTCTAGTATTTGTTCTTGTAAAAGATTTATTAATTATATTTTAATTATAATAATTATGTTAAAGTTATAGGAATACTAGACCTGTTTCTAAAAGGCCTTTTACCTATTATTTTACAAAAATATAGGATACTTCACAAATTTTAAAAACTGTTACTTTTATAAAGCAAATTTTAAAATTTAATTGCTGCAGTTCTAGTCCACATTTTTTTACCCTGTGTTTTTTATTTTAAAAATAAAAATATTGTTTAAGAGCATATTTTTAATTATTTGTCAAATAAATATTACAGATAATAAAAACAATTTGAACCAAAAATATAAAAACATAGTTTCATACCCTGCCTGTTTTTCCTTTATAGCAAAAACATTTTACCTATACCTACAGGGTGTATTTTTTATTTTCCTATAAAATGCCTTTTAAACTTTATTATTGGCAAAAACAGTTAATAATATTATAATATGTATATGTATATTCAATTTGAAATACCCATGTTGCCCTTTTGTCCCTCCATATCATGTTTTTCTATGTTTAATAGTATATTTCTGAGCCCAAAAATAAATAGAGTGTAAATTTCCTCTCAGAAAAAAAGTCCCCTCTACCTTGTTGAGGCCTTTACCCAAAACTACTGTTTATATACATTTAAAGGCAGAAAATAAGTTGAACATGGTCTAAAATTTAAAATTCTTCAAAAGTATTTAATAGATAAATACAATTTTGGTTTTATTTTATAATATTTATTATTTATTAAATAGTATTTTTTTAATGATCTATAATATAGTTATTACTTATATTAAAAAGTAAAAATTTATGTTTTATAATTTAAAAAAATAAATCAATAAATATTTTCACCCAAGTTCAATGTTAGGGGTAATTATTTTACAGAAAGTTATAAATCAATCGATTTCAAGTATTCAGATTTTCAATCAGACAGAAAAACAGCAACAATATTTGATATAATTAACATGGTAGTAATTTTATCTTAAGAAAATGGTATTTTTTAATTATATCTCTGTTATAGGTATGTTTACCTTCTGAATTTATTTTTTCATATATAAATTATATCAACCGATTTACATTTTAGATGATTTTATTGGCCAAAAAAAAAAACTAGTAAACCATGACTTATATTAGCGAAAGGCCTTTTAGAAACAGGTCTAGTATTTCTATAACTTTGATATAATTATTATAATTAAAATATAATTAATAAATCTTTTACAAGAACAAACACTAGAATAAAATTTTCACCAAATTCAACAAAATTTCTTTGTTCTTTTCAGAGGCTTTAAGTCATAATTTTCGTTTTTCATACCTTCTAATGCAAATTTATATACTTGTAACAAAACACATTGCAAACTGCGAACATAACCCAATTGTGTTTTATATTGCCGCAATCCTCTCCAAGTTTTTGTCAATAATAAGGTTTAATCAGTTATAAATGTATTTATGTGCATATTTAATAATACATGTTAAAAATGTATCACTCATAATGTAATAAACACATATTTAAGTATATGTAAGATAACCTACAAATCTTTAATGTCATTTAAAATTTGCAATGTTTGCTATGTATATAAACATATCTGTCAATAATTTAATTATGTTGTATGCACTGAAAGAAATATATGTTTGTTTTAGCAATGTATGTGGTTCATATATCGACTACCACATACATTGCTAAAACAAACATATATTATATTTAGTTTTAACATAATATGTTAAAACTAAATATAAAAATGGTTAAGGTAAATATATTTTATGTTTCATATATGGACTACCACATGCATTGCTAAAACAAACATATATTTCTTTCAGTGTGTCTTTGAAAAATGGTATTTTAGCACAGGTGTTCAATGTTAAATTTGTATTCAAAGATAATGTGGATATATCCAGAGAGCACTTTAATTTGCAAATGCGTTGGTAGAATTCATCTGTTGGGCTGGATCCTATGTGTGCAGATAATTT